AGTGTGGTATTTTTTAAATTTTTATTATTACATAGGTAATGAAAATTCGAACATTATTTAAATGAAGAAAAAACACAGGATATTCTAAATAGCCCTCCGTTTTCCTCTTTACTTGTTATCGTGAAACTGGGTCACAAGACCGCGACTTTTGTTCTTAGACTGAACAAAACTCTTTTGTCTAAATCGTTAGTATGTAAAAAGAGTGACCGTGTGATTTTACCCGACTAAAAAACGACGCAGGGTTATGATTCAAGTATTATACGCGGATTGTGTGCGTGTGCGTTTTCGTGTGATCTTTTCTTTCTACCTAAGCTGATAGCCTTGAGAGGCTATATCAGCGTAGCCTAACAAGTAGGTGAGCTCACGGGGCTCAAGCCTGATGACGTTGCTAATACTAGTCCTAGCAAGAGTAGTGCTTTGCAGAATCTACCACCGGATCGAAAACGCAACTTACTGAGAAGATCCGGCGAGAACTCAGTGAGCTGTGTCTGTGGGTTAATTTACTCGCCGAGCCCTTCGTCACAAGCGACGCGTTCGACGAGAGCGATGACCGGTGCTTGATGTACCTAAAAGCACCGTTGTAGATCGGGAGGATCCCAGATCACGTGTTTTGGGCGACGTCTACTGTTTACCATTTGGTCCGCAGGATCGGGAATGTAGTTAACCGCGCGGCGGCGGCCACGATGAGAGGGTTCTTGTGTTGTGCCGCTTTATCGAAATGAATACGTGGGGTCGACGTGTCCTCTTGCGGGATTGCGGAGCGGACCTCGGGGAAACCCCTCTGCCCGGACTGAATCTCCCTGCCTATTGAGGCAGGGGTGATGCACTGCGGGATGGTGTGTAGCGGGCTTGAGGTTTTGAGATGGGACGACTTCTTTTTACTGGTGGTAGGACCTCTTGTGAGTCCGCACGGGTAGGTACCACCACCCCGCCTATTTCTGCCGTGAAGCAGTAATGCGTTTCGGTTTGAAGGGCGGGGCAGCCGTTGTAACTATACTGAGACCTTAGAACTTATGTCTCAAGGTGGGTGGTGCATTTACGTTGTAGATGTCTATGGGCTCCAGTAACCACTTAACACCAGGTAGTCTGTGAGCTCGTCCACCCATCATAGCAATAAAAAAAAAAAACTTCTTTCTTCTTTTCCTGAAATGAATCGAGTGGCTCTCCCTATTATTAATACCGAACATTTTTAAGTTATCAACCAACTTCGCGACTTCAAATCGGTCAAGCATGATAACACTTATACTAATGTCAGCGCTTGGCGTGCATATTCCGTATCAAGTTTCATTAATAATAATATAAAAACTACAGGTCGTATCGTGGTCGAAACTCGACCGTAACTAATTTAAATTATAAGTTTGAACATTATTATGGTTCTATTGTCACATTTCTATAATAGGTAATAGTTTTTCTATAATCACATATTTCGCCAAAGCTTTAATATAAGAGAATAATATTATAATTAATTACAACCAATATTCTTAATCTATTTTCAATTTTATAACAGACTTTAAATAATAAACAAAAATGTATGTATGCGTGTGTGTGTGTCAAATACATGGTAGTGTGCGTAAAGTTTTTTTTTATGGAATTAATGTATTATATTTTTTATGCATAACTAAAAAAAAATATTAGCATTCTGCACTCCTTTCTATAAAACTAGGAAATTTCATACTCCTACGTCCGCGCAATTTTCGTAAAAAGGGGTACAAAGTTTTTGCTTCACGTATTTATATATAAACTAGCGACCCGCCCTTGCTTCGCTTCGGAAACATTCAATTTTATTATTGATAGGTGAGTCCCGCAATGTTACCCGCGGTTATTGTCGTACCGCGGGTGAGGCCGCAAGGCGAAGCTAGTCTTAAAAAAAGCCTAAGCTACTCCTTATATCATCAGCTACCTTTCAGTGAAAGTCTCATCAAAATTGGTCCAGCCTTCCCAGAGATTAGCTGGAACAAACAGACAGACAGACAGACAAAAATTGTAAAAAATGTTATTTTGGTGTATGTATCGTATATATATTCACATGCATGTAGTAAAAAGCGGTTATTTCAATATTACAAACAGACACTCCAATTTTTTTTATATGTATTGATGTATAGATAAAGTACATTTAGATATCTGTATGCACATGCCGTTTATCAACGAACAATCAAATGTAATTATGTTAATCGCTTAGAAAAATAATTGTGCAAAACAATGTAATAACAACGGTAGACTTTGTAAATAAATTGCGATAGCGTTATTTAAATACAGCAAGACATTAAAGGTTAATTATTACATATCCATTAGGGTTTTGTGTTTGGGTGTGATTACAGAAAAACGATTCTATGCAATTAAAAATATGGGTTGTATTTGAGAGGTTTCTGAAAACCAAATACCTTTCATAAATGGTGATTCTTAACGAATAGCGGTGTACGCAATAACAGTCGCAATAAGATATATATGTATATACCAGTGTGCTTAGTGTAAGTTTTTTAACGTTCTCGACCGCGTAAACGTTAACTCACATTTGTATGGAGTTGGAACAGCGCCCCTAGCGGCAAACGTAAACAAACTTTCTAACTCCATACAAATCTGAGTTAACTTTTACGTTATCGAGAACGTTAAAAAACTCGCACTAAGCACACTGTCATGAAGATAAAATAGTTTGTTCGTCAAGGAAAGTTGGTTTTATATCCGTATCTCGTCGTGCACCCACACAGAGAACTGTTTTAGCCAAAGATGTTACATTCATTCATTTTTCTAGGAAAAACAAAATCATAAATTAATAATGCTACAAAAACGGCCACTAAATACGTACTCGTATATACTTAGTGAACATTATATCTTGACTGGTGGGAGGACGTCTTGTGAGTCCGCACGGGTAGGTACCAGCACCCTGCCTATTTCTGCCGTGAAGCAGTAATGCGTTTCGGTTTTTTTTACGGCTCACCTGATGGTGAGTGGTTACCGTCGCTCACGGACGTCAGCAATGCCAGGAGTAGAGCCAAGTCGCTGTCTACCGTTAAGTACTCTCCACAAGCCTCGTTTGAAGAAGGACATGCCATAGCGCTCGAGAAACACCGTGGAGGGGAGCTCATTCCATAACCGGATGGTACGTGGCAAAAAATACCTCTGGAAATGCATTGTGGATGACCGCAGTGGCTCCAGGTAGTATGGATGAACTCTGCTCCGGTAGCGGGCATTGCGATGGTAAAAACGAGATGATGGTATCAATGGTATATAATTGAAGGGCGGAGCAGCCGTTATGCTGTAAAAATTGAGACCTTAGAACTTATATCTCGAGGTTGGTGGTGGCATTTACGTAGTAGATAATGGGCTTCGGTAACCATTTGACATCAGGTGGGCCGTCCACCCAGCTAATCAATAAAATATAAACAAATAAAATACTTAAAACGTTGCATTCTTTTTTATGGAGGTAGGGTTTACCGGTTATCCGGAGGCCCGGTGGTTCTAACACGGCGCGTGTAAAGTTATAAAAAATGCCAACAAGTACGCTTCCACTAGCTGCTTTGGCGTTTGTATTGTGGTATTTGTATTTTGCCGCGCGTTTTCGCTAATGACGGACTAGTGTTCAGTGTGCTTGGGGATTTATCCCCGTTAGCGGCTTGAGTTTGTCGGTACGTTAATTTTATAAAAAGAAAACAAAAAAAAAATAGGTATAATTATGATCACCGTCGTAATAATAGGTTGTATACTCAAACGAAAAAGTAACGAAGAACAAGTTACGTTTGCCTAATAAAATAATAATAGGTAATTGCTTTTGTGATTATGAACTATGCGTATCGTGAATTGTTTTTAAATCAAATTTGATATTTATATATGTATATATTTGCATTGATAACTCGGTTTAATTTGAACGAACAAAAGGTTTCCGATCAGTAGTTACTGTTTTGACAATTTTGCGAAATATCGCAAATTATTTCAAGTTACGTAATTCGGAGCCAAATTAAGAGACGCTAACTATAGAATGATGATGATAAATTCACGTTCATTTCGGCTAAGTTGCCATGGCAGTGATGCGAATAAATTGACCATGGAATTATACTAGAATATGGCTGATCAACTTTTTTGGCGCTCGAGCCAAATAACGATTCAGACGTTTTTGGCGGGCCATTTTGACGATTACCTTTTTAGCCATTTTTAAGTAAGAATTAAGTTAAAGTGGACAGTTATATGGGCCGACGTCTCTAGAGCAGTCTTGCACGAAAACAATATTAGTTACATTATGTTTTTGTATTTAAAAAGCCTAAACAAATTTGAAATTCTAGAATGATCTTTTGACATTTCGTTAGGAATGTTACAGTAACAATAAACATGCTGTGTGTACAGATATAACACATACGACCAAAGCTACTGATGTTAGAAATATAGTAAACAAACTTGCATGGAACTCGATAGGATGAGAAGTGACGCAGAATAATGATTCAAAGACGTCCCTGTGTGGTATTGACCTCAGTCATCACTGACGTCACTGAAGGGAAAAGACCGTTAAGAGATTAACAAAACCGATTATGAAGAAGATCAAGCTACGAACAGAAAAGCATGACAAGCTAGGCGATTCCTTCAGCAAAGGGAGTCGACGTGGCCCAAAACACGTCATTACGGATCCTCCCGATCCATTGACGGTGCTTTTAGGTACCACAAACACCGGTCACCGTCCTCGTTGAACCCGTCGCTTGCGACGAAGGGCTCGACGAGTAAATTAACTCACAGACACAGCCCACTGTCTTCTCGGTGGGTCGCGTTTCCGATCCGGCGGTAGATTCTGGGAAGTACTGCTCTTGCTAGGGCCAGTGCTAGCAACACTCCGGTTTGAGCCCCGTGCTACATATTAGGACGAAGCTGAAATAGCTTCTCAAGGCTATCAGCAAACGTAGGAGAAAACAAAAGCAAAGGGAACTTTAATGATAGAATATAAAGGTTTTATAAATTGAAATGAATAATAAAAATTAAATTCAATAATACTGACTAAATCATGTTTATTTTGTTCATAGGTTCAAAGATAATATTGCGAAGCTTAAACGGCGATTTTCGATCAGGTCAGCTCACAGCCATCCTTGGTCCTTCAGGAGCTGGGAAAAGCTCCTTACTGAATATTTTAGCGGGATATAGGTGAGCTTTTTCATTTTTTTTTATTGCCCTTGTAGGCAGACGGATCAGAAACGTGACTCACTGAGAAGATCCAGCGAAAAACTCAGTGGGCTGTGTCTATGGGTCAATTTACTCACCGAGCTCTTCGTCGCAAGCGACGGGTTCGGCGAGGACGGTGACCGGTGCTTCTAAATTTAATTTCCCGCATTGTTCCCGCGTTCTTGTAGTGACAGGGTGTTTTGTGTGCCTACAGGGAAACGTATCATTATCTCACCTATTTCTGTCGCGAAGCAGTATTGCTTTCCAATTTGAGTAGTGGGGCAGCCGTTGTACTATAGAACTGAGACTAATTTCTCAACGTTGGCAACGGGATTTATGTTGTTAATATAATAACCCATAGGGGTTCCGAAAACCACTTAAGACCAGGTGGACCGTAAGCTCGTGTAATAAAAAAATATTGTTACCACTAGTGACGATTCACAAATTTGCGAATTAGTTTTGGCAACTGGTCTCGCAAACGACTTTTCGTCAGGAGGGTCTACTTCGAAGACAAAACTAACACTTGTTATCTGTTCAAATAGGAGTTTAATTACATCAATAAACCGTCTCACTACGAGTATGGGTTAATTGTACGTCATTATTAATGTCGTATCCTTGACTTGAATGATTGCTTGTAATTATCCGACGAGTATTTATTACATGCGATTTAAATATTATAATTACATTGTCTCTCTGTAACAGGCTAATGAGCTAAATTGAGTATACATTTTATTTATAGTATTTATATTGTGTTATAGACATCGTTATCTATGTTGTACGTACTATGAATTGGGCTACTTCAAATCGAAATAAAGTACGTCTACCTACAATGGAAATAAAAAGAAATATCTTACACATAATTGAGGCAGTCAGCGCAAACGTGGCCTAATCTTACTATATTATGGAGATAATGAGGTTCGAATTTACTTTTACACTGCTTCGTAGGCAAAAACAATACGCGCAAAATAATGTTCACAAAGCCATCTGTTAACTAGGGGTCAAAATAGGCCGGTTTTGCTTTGAAAACTTTATAATGTTTTAAATAAATTGCAATATATATAAGCACGAATATGAAAAATTGTGGGTTAGGTCACTTTTGCGCAGACGGCCACAATTGTTCTTTCATCATCTTAGTAAAGCCTCAAAGCAACGCAGATTTATGAATTAAATGTTTAAATGTTTTAATAATTTTGCTAATTTTAATTTTATTTTTAATTTTACTAACATAGTTATAAGTTTTACTCTACTTACAACATATGGACTTAAGATGGTCCGAATTAAATGAATTTTATTTTATTTATTTATTTTTTAGTAATACCACGGAGTTTTTGAACTGCCATATTTCTAAGCTTTTTACACGAAATAGACGAAATCTCTTTGTCAGGGTTAACGGGTCGACCGGCCTGATCTCCACCAATGGACTGCCTCGCGACCTTCGGCAATTCCGGAAGATGTCCCGGTACATCATGCAGGAGGATTTACTGCAGCCCTTCATCACTGTGCTGGAGGCAATGTCTATGGCCGCAGACCTGAAGCTCGGGTCCGGGGTGGCGAAAGAGACAAAAGCCGTTGTGGTAATTACATAGCTTTTTATTAAAACTATAACGAAAAGTTCGTTTAGGAACGTATTCGTTTGCAATTTATTTAGTAGTTTTCCAGGGATTCCGACTACCAGTTTATAATATTTAGAATTCTTGTTTAAAACTCATCCTATAGGCAATTAATTGCATTTAACTCTTATAAACGTTATGTTTATAAGAGTTAAATGCAAATATTTGAAAAGTTAATATTCAATAACTCTTCCTCTGATTTATTTAATTATTGTATAGATGGATGGACGAGCTTACAGCCCATCTGATGTTAAGTGGCTACCGGAGCCCGTAGACATCTACAACGTAAATGCTGCCACCTACCTTGAGATATGAGCTCTAAGTTCTCACTCAGTATAGTTAAAACGGCTGCCCCACCCTTCAAACCGAAATGCATTACTGCTTCACGGTAGAATTAGGCAGGGTATGGTACCTACCCGTGCGGACTCACAAGAGTTCTTACAACCAGTAAAAACTGTTTTCTACCCTATAAATATTAACGCAAAACTGTTGTGACGTATAAGCCTTAAAACGCGCTATTGAAGACTCCTTAAATGCGAAAAGGCAAAATTCAAAGCGAATCTTTAACAAGTATACCTACCTAATGGAAAATTATTAAAATTTCAACATGCGTCTTGAAAACTGCAAACTGAACCTTATTGATCTATTTTTATTAAAAAAGCAAAACGGTTTTGCGTTGCAATTGAATTTTTCTGCAGTTTTTGTAACGAACAAAGTTCTTTGAGTTAAATCAAAATAAAATAATATAGGATCGTTAGTTAGTTTTAACTGTGTGTGTTTGTAGAATATTTTTATTAATCATACACGACCATCTGGCGCCCTAAAACTATAATTCCCTGATAAGTACTTCAGGAACCACAGAATTATTTACGTTGTAATATGTAGGTACATGTGATTGTGATCATATCAAAGAACAATTTTATTTATGAAACAATCCGGCAATAAAAGTTTTTGTTTGAAGATTTCTTTTTAAAATAACATATTGAGATTTAACGATAGACAAGATCACATTCGTCCCAACACTAATCGGTATTATACCCAGATATAGAGTCCAAATTTTCGGTTCGCTACACTAATTTTGCCCGAAGTGGGAATCGATATTGGACCTTCGACCCGTCAGTGTGGGATGCTAACAATTGCGCTATACGGTCGAAAGAGAAAAAAAAGCCCATTCGTAAATGCAATTTGTTGGTTGCAAAATATTGTGTTACCATGACAGCACACAACACGCAACTCATCTGGCCTTGATCTTTAGAAGCTAGAAGATTACCTGTTTTAAATTACTGCGTTGATTACTTTAAATGAAGATATAATTGAATTATACTAATTGTAGCTCGCATTGAGATTAACCATTCTTTCTATTTCTGCGGCGAAGTAAACCAAACGCTTTCCGTTTCACAGGCTGGGAAAGTATACAAAATAATTCAGACTTGAGAGATTTCTTACTATTGTTACGCCGGTAAGAGTAACGCCATCTATCGCCGAATAGTCGAACGAATATCGGAGGATCTAGTAGCATCTAGAACGATGTGGAATATTCTCGACGATTGTAGGGATTTCGTCTCGACTATATAAGTGTTCGGACTTCATTAGAGCTGAAGACTGGCCGTCGTCTAGTCCCGATCTTAATTCGCTGGATTATGATTTATGGTCAGTTTTAGAGAGTACGGCTTGCTCTAAACGCCATGATAATTTGGAGTCCCTAAAACAATCCGTACGATTGGCAGTGAAAAATTTTCCCATGGAAAGAGTGCGTGCTTCTACTGATAACTGGCCTCAAAGTTTAAAGGACTGTATTGCAGCCAATGGAGACCACTTCGAATAAGCTTTTTATACTTTAAGTTGTTTTATATTTATGTATTAAACTAACACACTGTAAACGTAATAAATCTTATTTGCAATAGAATTTTTTTTTCCTTTGTCTCAGTAATTATGGCAAGACTAGGGATATATAAGTTGCTCCGGGAGCCAGTCAATTGCAATACAAACTCAATATTCCCTACAGACTCCGTAACGGCTGGAGCGATCAGCGATCGATTCAAAGTCAAATCAAGCAAAGCGCGCATGCCTGTCTTGTCGGTTTGGCGGGAAGCCATCACATAAAACAAATATATTTGACAGATGCCTGAATCTCACTTACGACATTTTCAAGATAAGCTTTTACTTAAACAATTTCCGAACAATCACATTCGGAGCGTCGGTCTACCGAGCAATATCACACGCTCAGTGGAAGACCTTCCCTTCGTCGTATACCTCCAAAGTTGGTCATTATATATTTTAAAAAAAAAACAGAACGTCAAAATAAATTCTTGTTTTGTTGATCACTCCTAATAGCTTAAGGTACCGAATGTAGTTACCCTTCGCAAATCTTGAATCGGACGCATTCCCTTTCCGAAATTCCTACGATCGAAACCGTAAATGACTTGAAAATGAAGAAAAACATAAAATTAGCCAGTTTGTTTGCATTGACCGGTTCTGATTATAGATTGTCATTAACGAGGAACGTAAAAATAATTCTGTTGAATAAAATTTGATTTGGGCCAATGTTGTCGCTTTTCATACGCTATTTTTTTATTGTTGGAACGAAGTTCCTTATCGCGCGTTGTGAAAGGGGGCTAGACGGAAAAAATTCTTACGAAAAGTTGTCACGACACTTTTTAGATCCGTCATTCTGACCAATCAACGTGTAGGCGCTTATCGCGTGACATTGCTCGTATCCGATTGGTCCGCGTAATGAGTACAGTTTCTCGAGATAGCCTTTCAACAATAGTAATTTAGTTCATAGTATTGTTTTTTTCTTCTTCATAATGCCGTAATTTATTATTAATTAATCGAAAGGAACTTCGTTCCATCCGGGTGTCCCTTGACACCTCGGAAGTTTTTATTTTTTTCTTATCGTTATTAGCCTAAGGCGCACGGACCGGAGTTATTATTAATAATTCATAATGTTATCGCATTTTTGACGGAGTTTATAAGGAAAACCCAAAAGGGTTCCCAAGTTAATCACTTGAATAGATGTGGATAGGTACTTTAAAAATGAATGCTTTTTATATTTAAAACTTTTGGGTATTGGTATCCATATATTATTATGGTAATTACGAATTTTATATTCGTTCTTCTTTTTAATGTAATTTTGTTAGCCTGACAAAATCACATCCAACATACAACCTATTGACGTAATATGCACCAACTTCAATACAATACAGACAATACAATAATATTATTACTTTAAAATTCCGACCAAGGCAACAAGGTTTTTTTAGTTGTAGTTCTGCTTGCTATTTAAAAGAAGTTCTAAAACGTTTGCTTATTACTTTCGGATTATGATCAACATATGGAAAAGCTTTAAAAGACGACAACTCAGCAAAAACGTTTAGTGTTTATTGCAGCACAGATACGCTTAATAGATGAAGTGTTGTATAGTTTACTATACACATATTAAAAACGCTATCAATTTACTTATGGCGTACACACCGGTGTACACACCGTATTGTCGTTTTCATCATTTTTCATTCTTAAATCAAATTTTTCTAGTAATAGCGAATGCTGTGTATAAGAGAAACGACCTAGCTCGCTTTGTCCTTTCCCTCTCTCCACGGTCGAGTGGTTCGCGAGACGCTCTGTCTATCTTCTCACTCTCGCTCTTCGTAAATTGTATCTTTTCTCTCTAGCCGTAACGAATCTGTCGCAAGTTAGATTTTACTCTTAACGCGCTTAAAGAAGTTTCACTTTAAAAGGAAGCTGTTCATTTGCAGGTGGAAGAAATAATTCAGCTGTTGAGACTCGGCAAAGCCAGGAACACAGCCACCGAGAGACTGTCGGGAGGGGAGAGAAAACGATTATCTATTGGCCTGGAGCTGCTTAACAACCCGCCTGTAATTTTCCTAGACGAACCCACAACGTGAGTAAATTCAGGGAAAACATGTCATTTAAAATAAATTGTAAGTAGTTGTATGCAGTGCTTTAAAAAAAAAACTTTAATAGCATTCTGATTTATTTATTTATTTATTATTGCTTAGATGGGTGGACGAGCTCACATCCCACCTAGTGTTACGTGGTTACTGGAGCCCACAGAAGTCTACAGCGTAAATGCGCTACCCATCTTGAAATATAAGTTGTAAGGTTTCAAGTATAGTTACAACGGCTGCCCCACCCTTCAAGCCGAAACGCATTACCGCTTCACGGCAGAAATAGGCAGGGTGGTGGTACCTACCCGCGCGGACTCACAAGAGGACCTACCATCAGTAACAATTATTTTCATATTTTGTTTCTGTTGATACCGCTCAGGATATTAGAGTGAAGTTATAAAACTATGGTTTTGTTATCGGTCCGTGATGCGTGGTAAAATTTTCAAGTTAAACAGACTTCTTGAAGTCGGTGAGAGAATAACGTTAAAGTATTGCGTTACATACTATTTTACAATTACCTGAGACTACAGATTAACAGTCACCCGGCTCCAATTTAGGATTCCCCGTGTTATGGTTACCAGAGACTGATAAAGATAATTATTTATATACTTTTAAATAATATATAAACAATGAAGACTCAGACAAAGAGCAAACAAACCTGTTTAGAAGTCGTCGTGGCCTAAAGAATAAGACGCATATACAACGATGCATCGGTGTTCGAATCCCGCCGCGGTGCCGGCAGGTTTTTCTAATGAAATACGTACTTAACAAATGTTCACGATGGACTTCCGCGGTGAAGGAATAACATCGTGTAATAAAAAACAAACCCGCAAAATTTCAATTTGCCTAATTACTGGTAGTAGGACTTTTGTGAGTCCGGATAAATACATATATATCGACGCTTGAAAGGCAAAAGTGACTAAGCGACAATAACTGCTTTGTACATAAATGATAGGCAATAACCATTTTCGATGTGCAAAAAAAATATATTTCTAGGTCTATTAAAATCCCCTATAGGTAGCGGCCTCCCCCCGGTGAAGGTCAAAGGGCGACCTCAGGGGGTGAGGCCGCGCGGCGCGCTACCAGCACTCTAGCGCGCTGCCGTGGAGTGAATAGAGCGACCGGTCGACGGTGTATCGCGTCCCGACCCGGCAGGCTGGTTCTGGTCCAGCGGGGTATTCTGGGATACCAGCGGCACCGTCTGGGCGGCCCGACGGGCTGCCGTACCGAGACGGCCGACGTTTCAGAGCCTTCGATTCGCCTCGAAGGCTCCGTCGGCTGGGCGTCCTTGGGGTGAGCCGCGCCGTCTGGTTGTAGTGTTGACCGCGGTAGCCCCCCTACCTCAACCGGGTTCTGACCTCGGAGGGGATCGGACGTCGGGTGTAANATTCCGGGACACCAGCGGCACCGTCTGGGCGGCCCGACGGGCTGCCGTACCGAGACGGCCGACGTTTCAGAGCCTTCGATTCGCCTCGAAGGCTCCGTCGGCTGGGCGTCCTTGGGGTGAGCCGCGCCGTCTGGTTGTAGTGTTGACCGCGGTAGCCCCCCTACCTCAACCGGGTTCTGACCTCGGAGGGGATCGGACGTCGGGTGTAAGAGTGCAGGGGAGTCGTTTAGTGGGTGGGCCCTAAAATCCTTGGGCCCGCGGTCTGCTCACAACACCATGCAGATCGTTGAGTCTCACATACCCCGCGCGCCCCTTTTGCGTGGGGACCTCGTAGGAGGCTCGGCCCTCTATCCGAAAAAAAAAAAAGTATATTAAAATCATTTCAATCCTACAGCTACTAGCCAGATTCTACTACAGCTGGATTCGTTATAATCAAATTTGTTTTTCAGGTATTTCAACTTTAAATTAGTCTACTGTAAAGTTCACGCATTGTCGCTTAGTCACGTTTGCCTTTCAAGCGTCGATATATATCCTTTAGGCCACGACGACTTCATCTCTTATCTCCCCTTTTATTTCACATTAAATTGGCCGTCACGAAATTGATGACTTTAAATTCGAATCCATGATAAAGCAAGCCCAGACCACCCGCCATCCTTGATGTTTCTAGTGATAAATCTTGGAATTTATTCATATATAATTTAACTAAAAATATCATTTCCGCGTTAACAAATGAATAATGTATTTGTATAAAGTAATGACTTTGTAATGAATCTAAATAAGGAATTTCTTGGTCAGTAAAATTTAAAAGATTTTATTATGAGTTCGTCCATTGTACAGGCAAAGCGCAACACCTTATCGATTGTATAAAAAATGGAATGAACCGAAACGAATTGAATAGAAATAGCTTATGGAAATAAATTAAATGGGACTATATGAGGGGTTAAATTTTTTTTTTTTTTTCCTACCTAAGCTGATTGCCCTAGGGGCTATGTCAGCGTAACCCTAATTTTAGTAGGTGAGCTCACGGGGCTCAAACCTGATGACGTTGCTAACACGAACCCTAGCAAGAGCCGTGCTTCGCAGTATCTACCACCGGATCGGAAACGCGACCCACTGAGAAGATCCGGCGAGAAACTCAGTGGGCTGTGTCTGAGAGTTAATTTACTCGTCGAGCCCTTCGTCGCAAGCGTCGGGTTCGACGAGAACGGTGACCGGTGCTTGAAGTACCTAAAAGCACCGTTAGTGGATCGGGAGGATCCGAGATGACGTGTTTTGGGCGACGTCGACTGCTTTCCATTCTGTCCGCAGGATCGGGAATGTAGTTACCGGCGGCCACGATGAGAGGGTTCTCGTGTCGTGCCGCTTTATCGAAGTAGGGGTTAAATAATTGTTCAGTTTGTGAACGTAAAAACGTCAGCGAGGTTCGTCATGACACCAAACCCCTCTTTCCAACTCAGCCGCCAAGAGCAACGCAACTATTTTATAGTTTTTTTAAATAAAGTCGTCAATCTGTAATGTTACGAGCTGAGGTTCGGGATAGATAAATATTCTACCGAAGTACAAATTAACACTGTATAACATTTAAAACACGACTACTTTAAAATTCTCAATCCACTTCTTCCGCTTCTTCAGGTGATCCGTTCGCTGTTTCGCTTCGAGTAATTTCGGTTACTACATAGATTATACATTTAATATTTGAGAGATTACTAACTGACTTCGTGTCATAACTGCAACGCTTTTATAGTCGATACGATATCCCTAGAATTATCGAGAACATTCCGCACAAGTCGAGTATGCTCGATATGCCTTTTTGCCATTTGACAATAGATGGCGCTGTACATCTCGAGCATTCTAGATTTTACAAGTTTTTTTGATATTCGACTCTGCTATTCGATGATGGATGGCATTCATTGCTCTCACCGGCGTAACAATAAAGGTTCAATAAATATTTCATACAATAAATACAGTCCACGATCAATTACCACAACGCAATAATAATGATTCAGTAACAAAACCGTGAGCACGTTCACATATCTGTTCAATAAAAAATAAAAACAGTACACGGGCTATTTTTATCTTACAATATCAAGTTTCTTCATGATCGGCTTATTCGTTCGCGTTTTTAGAATATATATTGTTAATGTACTTGAAGGGGAGGTCACTGGTTGCACACGGTCGCGAAAAAAAGTCATAATAGCGACTCAAAGGAGAAACCCCATTTTGGGCCTAAGCGTTACACGAATGGGATATGTACCAAAAAATTCGTCTATTTTGCTTGATTAACCTATTGAAATCTTAGCTTCATTGACAATGGCCAAGTGTAGAAAATAAGTTGAATTCAATTTTTTGTTTTAAACAATCTTTGTAAACATCTGCAATACTTATTTCAATATACATACGTAGCTAGCTCCACAAACGTGCGGATTAGAATTAAAGCATCTATAAAATAGGATCGATTTAGTGGAAATCGAGTGTAAAAAATAATTAATACTCTTTTGCTTTAGGATAAATGACTGTTTTTATAGGTATTTTAATCAATGTAAATAGAGTATGGCCATCGAATCGTGACACAACTACTTCCAATGGCGGCAATTCAAAATATCTACAACTGACAACATTAAATATAGCATGAAAGGATAGTTTTGCATTTTTATATTAATGTGACTATGCCCTAGAAAAATACAAATGTATCAAATCGTGTTATGTTATCTTTAATGTTGCCAACTGAAGATATTCTGGATTGCCGCTATTTAGTTGTGCCATGTTTGGCCGGCCAGACTATAAACTTAATCTCATTGAATAACGTAACGTAAAGCACCAAAATCTACTAACAAAAATCATTAAAAGAAATAAATAACTGTGCCATTTAGTTATGACACGAAATCATGTCGGCAACTGCAGCAATACAAAATATTTTCAACTGGCAATCTTAAATATAACATGAAAAAGTTGATTTGGTACTTTGAGTTTTTCTATGGTGTAGTTACATTAATAATTTTACTGGTGGTAGGATCTCTTGTGAGTCCGCGCCTCCCGCCCGCCTATTTTTGCCGTAAAGCAGTAATGCGTTTCGGTTTGAAGGGCGGGGCAGCCGTTGTAACTATACTGAGACCTTAGAACTTATATCTCAAGGTGGGTGGCGCATTTACGTCGTAGATGACTATGGGCTCCAGTAACCACTTAACATCAGGTGGGCTGTGAGCTCGTCGATGGGTATCTAAGCAATAAAAAATAAAAATAAAAAAGGCATGAAATAAAATGAAATGAAATGTGATGAGATATTAAGGGAGCACGTAATGATTTTTAGTTTATATAAAAAAGTTATCATATAAAATATATAGTTTTTCATATAAAAAAGTTTTCATTAAAATTAAAATAAGACTGACCTAAAGGTCTTAGTTACCAGGTCATAAAATCCCTTAAAAAATCATTTCGTGCGCAGCGCGCTTCGCATTACTTTGTTTTTAATTTTTGGCTTTCGTTCGTTTTCTTAAACAACCTAACACGCGATTTTTCGTAACAGGATCCATTTTTATTTTAAAGCAACCTGTTGCTGCAACAGGTTTCGTAAAAAATTACTCATCTTTAGTAGGAAACAGCCTCAAAAATATCGTTTTTATTAAAATATCTCGAACAATAAACATAACCTCAAAATGTAAACATTGTCTGATTTTACCAATTTGGCCATTGCTGGGAGACCTGAAAATTGGGCTCAAGAAACCTTCTTAGGTATTGTAACTTATGCCCAAATTCTAGCACTGTAACGCCAGGCCCAAGTTTGTATGGATTTCGGGTTTGTCCTTTCCGTCATTTTATATGATAAAATGTGTTCCACATCCAAGATAAGGCAATTGTATTATTACAATAAACCAACACTCGGTCATGCTCGCTGTGACTTTTGTTAAATATATAGTAACTCTGCTTTTTATTAATACAAAATAAATTACGCACGATAACAGTCGTGCCTTTATGATTCTGCGATAGAAAACTTCCCCGGATGTGCTAAAATAATTTTACTATGTTTTATCAGGATTGGATGAATGATTTCGAAAGAAAAAATCATTTTTATTTATGTATATTTAGACATTTTCGCGTGATATCGAACAATAGTAAAACGGATGCACGGACTGACTAATAATAAAAATTAGGCGTATTATTTCAATGAAATTATCTTCATTGTGGGGACGAATTTTTTCTGTTGTCTTTATTACTGTACTGCATGTAGGTCTGTTGAGAATTTTACAATTACGATTTTTAAATTTAATGTGTTCCCAAAAAATTTTTTTTTTTTGCTTTTATGGGTGGACGATCTCACAGCCCACCTGGTGTTAAGTGGTTACCGGAGCCCATAGACATCTACAACGTAAATGGGCCACCCACCTTGAGATATAAGTTCTAAGGTCTCAACGGCTGCCCTACCCTTCAAATCGAAACGCATTACTGCTTCACGGCAGAAATAGGCAGGGCGGTGGTACCTACCCATGCGGACTCACGACACGGCCTACCACCAGTAATCGGTAAAGTAAAGTCGGTTTAATAGTTTCCGTCCGTTTCAGGGGCCTGGATGATGTTGCTTCATCAACCTGTGTCTCCCTTCTGAAGCGCGTGGCGCGTGGAGGCAGAACCGTCATATGCTCTCTGCACACCCCGTCAGCGCGACTCTTCGCGGAGTTCGACCACGTCTACGTAGTGGCTGACGGGCGGTGTGCTTATCAGGGAACTTCTGCTGGGGTGGTTCCATTCCTCAACGACCTACAGTTGCCTTGTCCGAAGACTTATAATCCTGCTGATTTTAGTGAGTTACCCCTGTTTATTGCTACAGAAAGAAACAACGATTTTTTTTTACTTGGGAATATATCCAACCCAGAAATAACAAGGAGAAGAATGAGAAAGTATTAATTATCTTGTTATAAAGACGACATTCTAGAAGCTGGAATCCTCAATTTACTATCACTACCTTTTTTTGAATTACAAAATCACTACTAACCCATTTTCTTACGGTAACCAGCGTGGTATCATCTTCTTTTTATTTTTTTTATTTCTTAGATGGATGGACGAGCTCACAGCCCACCTGGTGTTAAGTGGTTACTGGAGCCCATAGACATCTACAACGTAAATGCGCCACCCACCTCGAGATATAAGTTCTAAGGTCTCAGTATAGTTACAACGGCTACCCCACCCTTCGAACCGAAACGTATTACTGCTTCACGGCGGAAATAGGCGGGGTGGTGGTACCTACCCGCGCGAACTCACAAGAGGTCCTACCACCAGTGATTACGCAAATTATAATTTTGCGGGTTTGGTTTTTATTACACGATGTTATTCCTTCACCGTGGAAGTCAATTGTGAACATATGTTGAGTACGTATTTCATTAGAAAAATTGGTACCCGCCTGCGGGATTCGAACACCGTTGCATCGCTACATACGAATGCACCGGCGTCTTATCCTTTAGGCCACGACGACTTCGAAATCTTCTTATTAAAACACATCACTAGGCTATGAAAAGTACTTATTGTTTCAGTTATCGAAGTATCGAGCGGAGAATATGGGTCTCACACTGAACGAATGGTGGCTGCAATCGAGAATGGAAAGAGCGAGAAATGGAGGGATTATGCAGTGGTGGAAACTCTCGAAGAAATGGAGATAGAACAGCTGAACACGGGAGGCGTGGAGAAGCATAACTACAAGCACGGGAGTACAGCGTTCCAGCAGTTCTTTGTGTTGCTAAAGAGAATGCTTTTACAGACGTTGAGAAACAAGGTGCGTTACCCAACCATAACTTACAAAGAGGAATGCCCATTTCAGGCCCAAAGCGGAAAATAGATTAGAGAAAAAATACTTAGTGCATTAATTTTGTCATTAATAAATATGCATTTACTTCCTTCCAAATGAGCGCCACTACAGTTTACAATAAGTAGTTTAAAAAAAGTAACTCTATTGAAAAAGTAACTCTATTGAATTAAGAATTTGAAACAGTCCATTTTTATAGTAATATTTGATGTCCATCTTGGGCCCATCATACTATGGAGAGTGGGCATTCTTCTTTTCTGGTCATCTTGAGAATAGTGATGGAAGATTTCGTTGCGTTAAAAAAACGGATATCCACTCAGATCTAAACGCTTGTCTCTTTGTGAATGACTTAAGCAGAACAACCCTTGTAGACATAAAACATGCCCTGATTGCTCCAAAATAACAGAAGGGGAAAGAATAGATAGGTATAAAAAACTATGACTCTATGACAATCTAATGACTATTGTCACGTCTAGCTTAAAATTGAGGCAAACGGTTACCAAAACTCATGACTACTTGGTTGAGTTTATAGATTTTTTTATATTAAATACAAGCGGCCCGCTCCGGCTCCGCTCGGGTCTTTAACAAAAATTTCAACGATATTTGACGTTGTTTTATTTTTTTTAAATAAAAGAACCCTTATTGCAACGTGACTATAATAGTTAGACATATGCTGTCGCGACACTTTGTAAATAATAATGTGTTCTACAAAGTCGTAGTACATTATTTTATTCTACCATCAATGGTTTTCGCAGGGCACGCGATGTAAATAATATTTTAGGTAATTTTTTTACACATTGGGTTACATTATTGGAGTTTTAGTAAGGATCCCTAATTACTTTCAAAAAAGATTATGTCATTAAAAAGATTATGCCTATGTCACTCGGGAATAGTGTAGCTTCCAAACAGTGAAATAATTGTTCAAATCGGTTCAGTAGTTTCGGAGCCTATTCAATACAAACAAACAAATCTTTCCTCTTTATAATATTAGTAGAGATTCATCGAATATCTGAGTGGATTTCGCTGGACGTCCCTTCACAAAACCCAACCAAACTGATTTAGTATAATTCTATTATTTTACCAAGATGATATTTCCGTGCGTCTCACCTTATCTCGTCCCATTCGACCTCGTTAAATTTTATGTCGATTTTCGATTCCAGAACTATCTATGGCTGCGAGTGGGCCTCCATCTGTTCTTAGGTATAATTGTGGCCATGATGTTCAATAAAATGGGATACGACGCGTCCAAAACGTTGTTCAACTTCGGTTTCTGTTACGCCTGTGTGATCGCCATGCTTTATATACCAATGATGCCTGTTCTTTTAGCATGTAAGTGTATACTGCCATAGGAAATTATGTTTTTTTGTGGTATTTTGTTATTATGTGCTATGTATTCGGAAGATTATTATTGGAAACTTATCAAAGATGTCTTGATATTTCTAGATAAACGAGATGTTTAGTTTTAGCCCGTAGGCATCAAAAATAATAGCAAAAAGTAATAACCTCAAACATGAGGTCGATGATTTAATTACTTGTCTTCTTCTTAGTTTGTATGCACTCTTGGCAGAGTGGTCGTGGTCATTATTTCTCGTAGTGGTCGCGCTTCACCAGACGTTGCCATTTATAAAATAACTTTAATACTTCAAAGAGTCATTAGGGGTGGGCCGTTACCCGTATGATCGTAGCTTTCGAAGACAATGAACAATAATAGATTTTGCTTATTGACAATGTAAATAGCAATGTCGGCGTTCGCACTGAAGAATAATATTTTCGTTTCCAGTTCCAACTGAGGTTCAACTGGTGAAGAGAGAGTATTTCAATCGCTGGTACGGACTGAAGCCGTACTACGCGGCGCTGGTCGTCTCCCGTACTCCTGCCACGATATTCTTCAGTCTGATATACCTGGTCATCGCGTATCCTGTCACGTCCCAACCACTCGAGGTCGCCAGGATCTTGATGTTCACGGCTATTTGTATCCTAGTGGCTTTGATATCGGAGTCGATGGGGACTGTCATATCTTCTATGCTAAGTGTCGTGGTAAGTTTAGTTCTTTCAGGTAGGATGGTCAGGCGAGCCTATATACGACCTGCGGCTAGTCAGTTACTACTTACCATCGGATGGGCCAGACGTTGGTCTGCCTATAAGGGCAATAAAAATACCAGGGTGGCATAATGGACCTAAGTTTATTAAAACGACTAGCGACTGTTTAAATCGCATCAAAGTGCCTCGCAGAAGACCATACTTACAATTTCAACAAACTTACAATTCCGATTAATTAAAGTCGATTTCGACTACAGAGGGACCACTAGATTATATAATAACTCTTCAACTTTATATATATCTATATTTGGGGGATTCCCCTTCAACAATCCCTATGTCTACCTCGTGGGGGGCCACTGAAGCTATATGGAAACATACCAAAGATAATTACACTCACTCATGCTCAGACTTGTTACATTTAGACAATTAAGGTACCCTTAATACATTTATCTCACTACGTCAGTGATTATCAAACTTATTTCTTTTACCGCCCCCATTGAAAATCAATAATTTTTCAGCGCCCCCCCTTTTTTGTAAACCCCTAATACCACAATTTCATTACTTTAATTAATTTAGTTATATTAGTCGGTTCTGATCTTTAAACTTACATTCTAAACTAGAAATTTTTACCAAGGAGAACAAATAAAACCAAACTTTATAATATTAATAATATATTATAATCAAATTAAAGGAAAAAATATAAATATCTAATTAGTTTTCGTTTTATAATCTAATGAGATGAATGAATTTGATGCTATTTAATAAGTTTGTTCATATCAGGTTCGATTTTACTCAAAAACAGTCGTAAGTAGCCGCGTTTGATAACTTGCAAATGATTTCTCTTTTTAGTGAGCAGCGTTGTCACAGCGCTAAATCCACGTTCACACAAATATAACGATGGGAATGCTTACAAAAATCGTTCAACGATAGACCACAATTCAGGGTACAACTGCGGAATTGACTTTTGTTGCCAAAATTGTTGGGAACCATTTTTGTATTTAATTTTTATTTCCTCGTTCGTTGTCTGTTCTATAAATATAAGTTCTTCTTCCAACTGGGGCGATATTGCTATGTTGACATTTGAAAAGGATCTAACACCCATACTGGTACTTCCAAATTCAAAATGTTTTAATTTTAGTGGAATTTAAAATACTATATAAAGTAAATGAAATTACAAATTGTACATCGCCCCCCTAACCCACCTCAACGTCCCCCATTTTTTCTGGGCCCCTTAACGCCCCCTCTGAGTTTCAAACGCCCCCAAGGGGGCGTTATCGCCCACTTTGAGAAAGACTGCACTACGTGAAGCAAAAACTTTTTACTTTTGTACCATTTTTTACAAAGATTGCACGGACGGAGAAGTATGAGATTTCCCACACTTATAGAGAATATAGAGAAGGAGTGCGGAATACTAAGATTTTTTTAAATTATGCATTAATGATACATGAAATCAATAAAAAAAAACATTACACACACACGCACACACACACGCACACGCACACGCACACGCACACGCACACGCACACGCACACGCACACGCACACGCACACACACACACACACACACACACACAATATAACCCTTTGTTTATTGTCAAATTCTTTCTTCTTGCTTTAAGTCGTAATCAAATTGAGAATAGGTTAATATTGTTTATCTTTATAGTTATTTGTCTATAGGTGTAGTCAAAATCTGTGATTGAAGTAATAGTCTTTGACAATAGAACCTTAATAATGTTCAAACTTATAATTTCAATTAAATATAGTTGAATTTCGACTACTGCGGGACCACAAGCATTAATTATTACCATTTAGCCATTACCTATAATTTTTGTTAATTGTCATACTTTGAGCTCACATAACATCACTTTTAAGCAATCCATAAAAATCAGTTTAATTTTCGTATCTGAAGTAAAACTGTTATATTCTTTGTACCAGGAGCACTGTTGCTTGAGATAAAGGTTTTATCATGTATCCAAGCACAGATGCAAATTATAATTGTGTCTTCTAAGGTTATGACTTCTAAGTTAACAACAAACACAACAAACAAACAAACAAACGAGCCGAGCTGAGCCGAGCCGAGCCGAGCCGAGCCGAGCCGAGCCGAGCCGAGCCGAGCCGAGCCGAGCCGAGCCGAGCCGAGCCGAGCCAAACCGAACCAAACCAAACCAAACTAGATCAAATCAAATTATTTCAGATATGTCATTTGTCATTTTTTCAGAATTCGGTGTTCCTGGGCCCGGCGATCAGCGTGCCCCTTATGCTTCTAGCAGTGTACGGGATAGGCAGTGGCGACGACCCCCTGCCTATAGTGTGGAGGCTCGCGAGGGCTTGCTCCTTCCTGAGATATGGAATAGAGGGTCTGGTGGCCGCAATATATGGACCTCCGCGGGACGACCTTATATGCCCCAGCCATGTCGATATATGCGAGTATAAGAACGTTAGGTGGGTCTTTTGTGAATTTTTTAATTTTTTATTTTAAAATTATCTTTTTTACGATTGACTCTAATGGTAAATGAATGATTTATTTTATTTCAGACGACAAGTCCATACGTGTACATAGTAACATTGACAACATATTTAAAATTACCAAAATAATTCAAATAAAAAATTAATTATATAAAAATTAATAAAAAATAATTATAAATCATATAAAAAATAAAAAAAAAACATTTCATTTAATGTTTTTATAATTGCGTTTTGTATCAGCATGTACAGTTCATACTAGATCTAGGTGTAGGATATAAATAAATAATGTAAATCGAAGTTTTCCTAATTTTAGTGGTTTATAAGCTAAAGCGGGTAGGTATCCAAATTATGTGTCTCGTATAGGACTTATTAAATCAAATCGAAATTTCGGTTCCGTGTCTCGAGGTGGTTAAAGGCATTCACGTTGTGATGTCCATGGACTTCGGTAGCCACTATTCTGGGTGCTTACTTTGTCTACCAGGAGTTGTAGGTTCGGTTATTTGAAGTCGTCGTGGCCTAAGGGATATGACGTCCGGTGCATTCGTATCGAGCGATGCGGCTGTGCCGTTGTTCGAATCCTGCAGGAAGGTATAATTTTTTCTAATTAAATACGCACTTCACAAATGTTGAACAATAACATCTACAATGAAAGAATAGTATTGTGTCATAAAAATCAAACCAGCAAAAATTTGAATTTGCGGAATTACTGGTGGTAAGACCGTTTGTGAGTCTGCGCGAGTAGGTACCACCGCCCTGCCTATTACTGCCGTAAAGCAGTAATGCGTTTCGGTTTGAAGGGCGTGTCGTTGTACTGTTAAAACTGAGATACACATATCCCAAGGTGGATTTCGCATTATGTTGCTGATGTCCATGGGCTCCGATAACCACTTAACATGATATGGGCCGTGAGCTCGCCCACCCATCTAAGCAATCAAAAAAAAACTTCATTGCATTTTGTTTGTTTTCAGGTATTTTGTGAAGATAATGGGTATGTCAGGAGTGTCGTTCTGGGTGGATTTCGGCATTTTAACTGGCATGCTTCTCGGCATGAACCTGGCCGGTTACTACTTGCTCCGGCAAAGGCTGTCCCCTAATTACGCGTTCAGAGCCATCAAGGTCATAGGCAATTTTGTAAAGACCAAAATGAGCGCTGCTAGCGGATGACGTAAAATAGATAAAGTTCGGTTTGATAGAGATGTTACGTGTTTTCCCTAGCGGCTTAGTGGTGTCGCACGAGTAGGTTCGATACTGGGCATGTCCTGAGTGACTACTCATGTCTGTTTCAGAGGACCAACTACCGTCAGCCTGCCTAAGCTAGAGGAAATATTTTCAATACTTTAATATAATTTTTGTACGTTTCTTCAATCATTATTCGCGCATTTAATTGTTAGACGTGCCAAGCTTATATTCATGTATTATAATTTACGAATGAAGAAAAAAAAAAGGTGTTTTAATACGTATAAAGTTAACTTTAAAAAAAGTTTTATAGTATTGTCTCTTTTATCTCTGTCAAAGAGTATTGTGAAGATTACTTAACGGTGAGCAGCAAGTTGGCATTGCTGACGTCCATGGGCGACGGTAACCACTTACCATCAGGTGGGCCGTATTCTCGTCTGCCTACAAAGGTAGTTAAAAAAAACATTGTACTTTAGATACTATTATACAAAGTGATATCATGTTCCGAACAATGGAAATAAATTAAAAATAAAATTTAACATTATTTGTGACGCAAAATAGTAAGGAAAGTAGGGTAATATTATTAATAAACGTTCAACATTATATTCTTAGAAAATATCTCAAAATTTCCGTGAGACGGTCTCTGAATTATTTAGTTTAATTGATTGATTTCTTGATGATTGATTAATGATTATAGTCCTCAATCTGTAAACACAATACAAGTATATTTTGTAAGTAAGTAAAAACTTTGCGTGTGTTTAACGTGTGTTTGTATTAAAATCATTCCTTTGTAAGTATAATTTGTAACCAGATTGTCATCTTTGATTAGTTCCCATTTATTTATATATTTGTATCATCCCAGTGTGATAATCATTGACCCTTTGACTGACCCTTTGAATGTCATTGGTCGCCTACGTGGCACACTAAAGTAATTATGTCGATTTCTGTTACTAAGGCGCCGGAATATCCAGTAGACTCTGGGAGAGATGAATCCGAACGATACTGAGAATGAATCACCCCATAGACACAGCCCACTGAGCTTCTCGCCGGATCTCCTCAGTGGGTCGCGTTTCCGATCCGGTGGTAGATTCTGCGAAGCACTGCTCTTGCTAGGGCCAGTGTTAGCAACTCTTCCGGTTTGAGCCCCGCGAGCTCACCTATATGTTAAGGTGAAGCTGAAATAGGCTCTCAAGGCTATCAGCATAGATAGGTATAAAAAAAAAGAATGAATCTATTAAGATGAAAACATATATTAACATTTTGAAGGGAGGGGCAGCCGTTGTGACTATACTTGAGACCTTAGAACTTATATCTCAAGGTGGGTGGCGCATTTACGTCGTAGATATCTATGGGCTCCAGTACCACTTAACACTAGGTGGGCTGTGAGCTCGTCCCCCCATCTAAGCAATAAAAAAATTTAAAAAATATAACAAACAAAAGAATGGCAAAGTTAGGAAGTTAGTCAATCCAGGTGCTTAGTAACAGAAATCGTCATAATTACTTTAGTGCGCCGCGTAGGGCACCGGTGACCTACACGGTAGTCAAAGGGCTAATTTTAATAAATATAATAAAACTTGAGTAGGACTTGTCTAGTGATTTTTAAAATCAATGTATTTAGTATAGAATACAAATAAAAATGCTTCGCGTGCATTTTTGTGCACGTGAATGAAGTGAAACTTCTTTTTCGATTTGTAGTATTGTGGTTTTCTTCATTTTTCGTCCTTAAATCAGATTGTTATTGTAATAGGGAATGCTGTGTATAAGAGATGCGACATCTTCAACGTTTATATTATATATATCTTAAATTATAGATAGAAAAATAAATACCTATATTTTTTTTTTTAAATATTTCATTAGAATATGGGACGCTACTCGTTGCTAACGCTCGCGCTGGCCTGTACCAGGTAATACTACGCGCATGTATTCGAGTGCCACGCATTCACTTTTGCTCTGTCTCTTTCTATAGTAGACTTATTTTGTCCGTCCAGTTTAGGTCATAAAACATAGCCCGGCTAGGGCGGTGCGCATGTTGCGCGGGCGCAACGCCGTTTACGATAAAAACAAATGAGTCATCGAAGGCAGGTACACGGCGGCGGGGTGGTATACGAAGGGTGGTGAGACATTGTTGTGTTATGAGTCATTTGTACTTACCTGCAAATTATAGTACATTATGTCGAAGAGAAATGTGTTTTTATGCATTCTTTCTCTGAATTTCTTTAGTGACACAATGGCTACTCCTTTGTTTTGTATCAAAACGGCAGAATTTATTCAAAATAATATTTGCACGTGTTGTTATCAATAATGTGTTAAATTTTTTAACTGAAATAAGAATAGATCCCGAAAAGTTACAAAGTGCTAATTTCTGCCGTTCTCGTTAACTTGCAGCGAAATGTGGTGTAAGTGTTCGATTAGTGATTTTTTCTTTCATTTTTATCACTAACCCACAAAATGACAAAACTAAATACACTATCGGCTTATCGACAAAAATAATGCGCATCAGTATGCCCGTCCATAAGGCTCGTGAGTGGAAGAGAGAGCGAAATACTCGCTTCACCGCTCCGACTTTTTATGACCCAAACTGCACGGACAAAATAATTCTACTATAGTACGGTAGCGTTAAACGCAATCTTGTTGGAAGTCGCGTTAGAAGTTTCACTTCAATAGATTTAATACGAGTTTCGAATCATTTGAAACTGCTTGGGAAGTTTAAGATAAGTAATATTAGTGGAGATTGGGAAAGACACGTCTGTCTCTTTTCCGCATATTGTTAGCGCACTCGGACATTGACGTCATTATGGTATTCTGAATATTTTATATTTATTTCGCTTTAAGCGGCTGTGTTTAATAGCTATTAGTGTTTTATGAACGAAGCAAAATATTACGACGCAAATCGAAAGAAAAACTGTTTTTTTTTTGTTAATCTTAGTCATTATATTCGGTTTTGTTTGGATAAGGTTAAATTTAAGACTGACGTTTTTTTCATATTCACATATGATAACATATTGGATTGTAAAAATAATATTGATGATTTGAGAATGTAATATAATAATAAATTGAGTGTGAAATTTTAGAAGCTTTATTTTCTGTACTGATATTTTAAGTAGTAAATAATGTTTTCCCGAAAAACATAGATATAAAAGAAATTAAGGGGTAAAGATATTAGTATTAGACATATGCTGTCGCGACTCTTTTTGTAAATAATAATGTGTTCTACAAATGTATGTGTTAAGTAGTTACCGGAGCCCATGGACATCTACAACGTAAATTTGATTTGATTTGATTTAGTCTAGTTTAAGTTTAGCTCGGCTCGGTTCGGCTCGGGTCTATATAAGAAATCCCCACGATATATGACGTTACTTTATTATTTTAAATAAAAGAACACTTATTGCGGCATAACTATAATAGTTAGACATATGCTGTCGCGATACGTTTTATAAATAATAATGTGTTCTACAAAGTCGTAGTTATTATTTTTTTACATTATTTTATTCTATCATCAATAGTTTTCGCAGGGCATGCGATGTAAAGAATATTTTAGGTATTTTTTTTACACCTTCGGTTACATTATTGGTGTTTTAGTAAGGATCCCTAAGTTAAAAAAAATATAGCCTATTGATGTATTAAAAAACCCAAGATACACATTCAGCGTTTCAAAAACGTCCGCATAAAATGAGTAAGTATATAATACGGTCCAAGTATAATACGGCGAATCTCAATGGTCGCATTTTCAGTGTAAGGAACTAATATTAAAATGCCTTTTATTTTAATCGCAAAATATCTGTCCTGATCCTGTTCTTTATTCAATGGAGTCGATTTTTTTTTATCGTGTTTAAGGTTTAAATTAGTAAGTTTATGCACTTTGAATTTTTTTGTATTTAGTTTTGAATAACTATTCATACGATAGAAAATATATAATAATAATAATAATATAGTTCTTAATCGAATTCCAGAAGGAAGAGAGAGAGGAGAGGAAAAGAGGTATTGCATAAAACCTATGCAATAGCTTAAAAAACAATTTAACTGTTTTTTAATTTTTAAATAAACTACTACTAATTGAATAAGAACTGTCTGATGAACTCATCTTTGTTTAATACTTCACTATTAAATTTTATGGACTTTTGTTTATTTTACACTAAACACAATATTGCAAATTACCCGAGCACGACAATGGCGGAGAATTTTAGGTGCGTGAGAGCAGACGTAGACACATATATTAAGTGTATAATCTATGGTAGACACTAACTAACGCGCATGCGCGCTTGTACCCAGGGAGAAAAAGTTACACTTTCTTCCCTGTACAGCGGGACGAAAACCGAACTTTCGGCGTCGGTAGGAGAAAAAAATATACAAATATTCGTCTTCACTCCATGTCCTGTCCTGCCGGCTAACTTCAGGCGTAAAATTTGATTGGTAATAAATAATATTGTAATAACAACTTTAAACAATGCGCGTAAAGTTGAATTTGCAAAAGATATGTTTATAGTTAATTATTAAACTACGTAGATATAACTGACGAGTGTTTCGGGCAAGTTTCGAGTGCTACTTTTGTATGAAACTGTGTATCTTGGGTTTTTATATATCAATGTAGCCTATGTCACTCGGGAATAGTGTAGCTTACAAGCTGTGAAAGTTTTTTTTCAAATCGGTTCAGTAGTTTCGGAGCCTATTCAATACAAACAAACAAACAAACAAATCTTTCCTCTTTATAATATTAGTATAGATTGTCTGTTACCTCAGTCAACGAGGCTTGTGGAGATTATTTAACGGTAAGCAGCAGGTTGGCATTGCTGACGTCCATGAGCGACGGTCACCACTCACCATCAGGTTTTTTTTATTTTTTTTATTGCTAGATGGGTGGACGAGCTCACAGCCCACCTGGTGTTAAGTGGTTACTGGAGCCCATAGACATTTACGACGTAAATGCGCCCCCCACCTTGAGATATAAGTTCTAAGGTCTCAAGTATAGTTACAACGGCTGCCCCACCCTTCAAACCGAAACGCATTGTCGTTTCTGGGTCTAATACTAGACTCCAAGCTTACGGGTTCGGCGCACGTCGATAATACAGTAAAAAAATGTGAAAAAAACGTCAATGTGCTAAGCGCACTCTCTCTTACATGGTGGGGTGTCCATCCCTATAGTCAAAAACTCCTTTATAATGCTCTAGTTCGCAGTATCATAGATTTCGGTTCAATTTTCCTGCAGACCTCAACAAAAAGTATTCTGTCTCGATTAGATTCAGTTCAGTTCAAAGCATTAAGAATAGTACTAGGTGCAATGAAATCCTTCCCAACTCGAGCCCTTAAGTCTGAGACGA